TGTTTTTAATTTCCTCCGCAGGAAAGATGTGACCCTGAGGAATATGACTTTGAAGATGTTCTAGGTAAGTACCCCCTTGTCCACTTCCCATTTTTTATTAGGATTCCACGAATGCGAAAAAAAAAAATGATAATACATTTTACGATTTGAAGATGATCTTTGTAAGTTAATTTCCTCTGCTTACTCGATTTTTGTTTGAATTTAAATAGTCAAAAAGCGAACCTGAAGCGTCCGGTCATAGATAAACACTGTCATAGATAAACACTGTCATAGATAAACACTGTCATAGATAAACACTGTCATAGATAAACACTGTCATAGATAAACACTGTCATAGATAAACACTGTCATAGATAAACACTGTCATAGATAAACACTGTCATAGAAAACACTGTCATAGAAACACTGTCATACAAACACTGTCATAGATAAACACTGTCTAGATAAACACTGTCATACATAAACATGTCATAGAATAAACACTGTCTAGATAAAAAACTTTTCATAGATAAACACTGTCATAGATAAACACTGTCATAGATAAACACTGTCATAGATAAACACTGTCATAGATAAACACTGTCATAGATAAACACTGTCATAGATAAACACTGTCATAGATAAACACTGTCATAGATAAACACTGTCATACATAAACACTGTCATAGATAAACACTGTCATAGATAAACACTGTCATACATAAACACTGTCATAGATAAACACTGTCATAGATAAACACAGTCATAGATAAACACAGTCATAGATAAACACTGTCATAGATAAACAAAGTTAAGTCTGTAGAATTGTGAACAGTGGAATCGGAATACATTATTTCCTCGTATATTGACTTTCAAATGCTTGAGGGAACTGCTAAACTAGCTAGAGTGCACCATATGTCTTCAAGGAGGGAGTAGATTGCAACTTTGGGCTGTCAACTAGTAATTTGAGGAGAATAACGCGGACAACACTTTCAAGTGAACTTCATTAATATAAAAGCGAGAGAGAGGGGCACCAGTGAGTCTGCCTGTCATCTCTACCATGCAGGAGGAGCCACATCTCTATGGTACATCCAAGAAAATCAGCAGATTTTTGGATGTCGTTGCTGCCCGGCCCTGGCTGAGTGTTCGCTCTACCAGCTGATGCAGACATAACCAAATGTAAACAATATGAGGAACTATTGACACGTCCTACGTCACTGTGTACTAAAATGTAACAAAAATCATGAATTCAGAGACAACTTACTCACAAGTGGTCAAGAATGTCTCAGTATTGTATCGACAGTGACAAATTTACCAGGTAGCCTCGAAAAATGCACTGACTTTGGGTTACTGTAAGTAACTCTTAACCACATATAAATACATTATCAAGTTTTGTAACTGAATTCATTAGTATAAACTCGTTAGTACTATATTGAAGTTAATAAATTTGTAAATAGTTCATTACTACTGTAACTTTTTTAACAAACACAAAAGTTACGGTCACTGTATAGACCTATTATATGCTTCTGTAATGCTGTACAACTCAAGGAAGGTTCCTTGATGTTGGTGAGGGGCTCTTGATTTAGGGAATTGGATCTGTGCTCCAGTTCCCAGAATTAAGCCTAAATGCCTTCCACATCCTCCCCCAGGCGCTGTATAATCCTCTGGGTTTAGCGCTTCCCCCTTGATTATAATAATAATAATAATAATGCAATGCTGTAACTACTGCTCACAGGATGGGTCGGTTGGGGTCACTAAACATCACAGAATGAGTACGGCGATGAGTAATAAAATGATCAAACTGAAATAAGAATACGTCTTTGAAGATAATCTAGGTTAGTCTATCTCTTCTTTATAGTTTTGTTCGGATTCCATAAACTGAAACATTTAGGATGCAACGAAAATCCACAACAAAAAGGGAATAGAACACACACACACCACACACACCAAAACCAACCACACACACACCACACCACCACACACACATCAACCACCACACACACACACACAACACATACACACACCACACACACACACACACACTACACACAAACCACACACACCCACACACACAAACACACACAACACCAAAAACCCACACACACCACACACACACATACGATCACACACAACACCCCCAAAATACACCACATACACACACACATAACCACATAACACACACATACACAAAACGGTTGGGGATTGGAGGCGGGGCCATACATAGTTTAAAAAAGGGGGAAATGAAAAAGCCGGGAACAGAGAGAGAGGGATCCATAGCGATCAGTGAAGGGGCGGGGGCCAAACTGATCTCGACCCCGCAACCACAATTGGGTGAGTACACACACACACACAACAAAACACACTACCAAAAAATACACACACACACAAAACACACATACACCAAACACATTTACCAAATCTTCAACAGTCCCGGGAAGGTAAGACACAATGCAACAGTTAGGTATCTTATTTGAAACGTTTCGCCTACACATAGGTTTTAAAGGGAACAAAAAAAGTTGATAGAGCAGAAGATATTTGAAGACGATGTAATCACCCATCACCCTTAAAATTTTTTAGGGGGTCGTCCCATCTAGAAGAGCATTTTTCCATAAAATAAAACAAATGGAAAAAGAAGGAGGGACCTTTTATAGCGCCAACGGGTAGCGTGGGTCACGGGGAGGGGTTTTTTAAGAATCGAGTTGGAAGGACAGGTCCCTCCAAATTACCGTTCTCACTAGTGAGGGTAAAATTAAAATTGTAGGTCTGAACCAAAATACCCTTGTTGCAGTGTCTGACAGTTTAAACTTTAAAAAAGGTATAAAAAACCGACATTGTTAGGTAAAAAACCATAGCATATGTGAAAACTGTTGCAAGTGTCTTCCCTAACAACCTGTGGTTTTTTAACCTTTTAATTTTCACGCCCGGGAAACGGGGCAACCCCTGGGGTAGGAAGACGGAAATGTATTCCCCCATTTTTAAAAAAGGGACAGAAAAAAGGCCTAAAACTATAGACCTGTGTCATTGAGGGATAGTATAAAAAAATTATGGGAAGATTATCAGGGGGAGATGGTGGAACCTGGAAGGAAAAAGAGTAAAAATGCCCCCCAAACGGATTCAGGAAGGCAAATTTTGGTCACAAACCTTCTGGATTTTTATGATAAAATAACAAAAGTAAGACACGAAGAGAGGGGTGGGGTTATTGCACTTCTTGGGCTGCAAGAAGGCCTTTGACACTTTTCCCCACAAAATTAGTGCAGAAGTAGAGCTCAGGGGCTTTTAACGAAAGGCACTCAATGGACAAGGGAAACCTGCGGGAGGGAACAACGAGTCGGTACGTAAAGATGAAAAACCCTGGGGGACCTGTGACGAGCGGGGTCCCACGGGGTCGGTCCAGGCCAGTGCTTTTTGGGATATGGAACGCATGATGGAGATTAGACTCAGAATGTCCCCCGTTTTAGATGATGTGAAATTAATGAGGAGAATTTAAAACGATGAGACCCCGGGGGACTTCAAAGACCCGGACAACTGGACCCTGGGCCAGCAAATGGCTTTCTCGAATTTAACCTGCCAAAAGCAAAGTCAGAAGATAGGGGAAGGGCCCCGAAGACCACGAGATAGGGTAGGGCCAAAGACTGCAAAACCCACCAAGGAAAAGATTTTGGGGGGGTATAACACCGACATGTCTCCGGAAGCCCACATCAATTTAATTTAAATGCTGCAGCATTGGGGGCCTGGGAAACCTGAGAACGCATTCCATACCTTAAAAGGGTCATCAAAACACAAAACCCCTGAAAGCGGCCCATACGGAGTACGCACCTTTTGGAACCCCCCACTTTTATAAAAACCCTCAAAAACTAGAGAAATACAAAGGGTTTGCGACAAGGTTAGTTCCAGAGCTAAGGGGAATGTCCTATGAAGAAAGATTAAGGGAAATCGGCCTGACGACACTGGAGGACAGGAGGGTCAGGGGAGACATGATAACGACATATAAAATACTCCGTGGAATAGACAAGGTGGACAAAGACAGGATGTTCCAGGGAGGGGACACAGAAACAAGAGGCCACAATTGGAAGTTGAAGACACAAATGAGTCAGAGAGATAGTAGGAAGTATTTCTTCAGTCATAGAGTTGTAAGGCAGTGGAATAGCCTAGAAAATGACGTAGTGGAGGCAGGAACCATACACAGTTTTTAAGACGAGGTTTGATAAAGCTCATGGAGCGGGGAGAGAGAGGGCCCAGTAGCAACCGGTGAAGAGGCGGGGCCAGGAGCTAAGACTCGACCCCTGCAACCACAAATAGGTGAGTACAAATAGGTGAGTACACACACACACGCGCGCACACACACACACACACACACACACACACACACACACACACACACCAAGGAAAAAGGGTAATCAATTACTGTAATGAGTTAATTGAATATATGGGAGGAATTGTACCTGGCAGCATGTGAACAAGGGTTCTGAGAGAGGGAGCAGAAACACTGTGAACCGCTTGCTAAAATCCACAACCATATAGAGCCGAAGTGAGAGATGTGGAAGAGAGCCAATTGGGTCTCATTATTTAGGTATAGGGTGAAGCAGGTAACGTTAATTAACCTGTAGGACGGTATGGTTAACTTGCCTACTGTGTAAGGTAAAGGAGAAGATAATAAGTCGTGGAGCACCTGGAGAGAATAGGTCTTACACATAACAAGAAACACAGGTTTACCACTGGAGCTCTATGACACAGTTACTGAAGTGAAACAGGCGAGAGAAAGAGAGAGAGAGAGAGAGAGAGAGAGAGAGAGAGAGAGAGAGAGAGAGAGAGAGAGAGAGAGAGAGAGAGAGAGAGAGAGAGAGAGAGAGAGAGAGAAGGAACGGTTGTACTGCATATTCTTTGGCTGCAAGAAGGTATTCAACACTATAATACACAAGACAGTAGAGGAGCAGAGAGGGATAACAGGGAAGGCACTATAGTGCATTATAGAGCTCAAACAATAATGTGGCAAAAACTGATTGATTATCCGAGAAGCCATATTGTGATGGGCAAGCTTAAGAAGTAGGGTACCACAAGGATTAGTACTGGGATCGGTACTATTTT